GAAAATATTTGTTACACATTCTCTAATACAATATAATAATAATCTTAAAGGCTACTATGTTCTTTTCCAAAGAAGCTTTACCCTTTTAACATAGACAACTTGATTTTCACTTCTGTTACTTCCTGATATTTGGGCTCTGTTGTAAGAACCTTTCCCAGGTCCTATTTTCTTACTATACAACATTTCAGTTAAGCAGCTGGAAATCCAGTATTCCAGAGAAAGTCAACATTGAGTGAGCTTGCAGTCATGCCTTACCATTCTGGTATGGATCCTCCCTTCCTCGAATTGGGATATTTTCTTCTCTGTTTCACTGGAGGTCTGCATTCTCAGAAGCCACAGAAACTTATTAGAACCCTGCTAACCAGCCCTAAAATCTGGCCCCCTGAGGTAGACCACCAGAGCCAAGGATCATACAGTTAGGGACTTGCTTGCAAGGACAACAAAATGAGGGTCTACTACTCACTGTAGGGTACTCAAGGCATCCCAAATGACAGAAGGAACCCAACTGGACTGAAGTCACTGGACAGAAATGCTATCTAAAAAGATGGGTATGCAGTATATCTAGTTTAAATACGCACTGTTCATTTGTACATTTAAATGCTTAGCCACCCAGGCAGTCATCAGGACCCAAGGCCTTGTCTTTGCCTTTAATAGCATGCTTCCCCTCCCCCAACCCTGGCCCTCACATGCTGTACCTATGGTGTTTTCCTAACATACCTGAACAAAACCCACTGTGAACCAGTGACCCACAACGGGCTAGGAAAGCAATCTGTTAACTAAGTAAGCTCTCCAAGCCTGACTATAACTCATGAAACTCAAAAGACTGGTAAATGCCCATGAATCACAACTGGCACTGCCTCCAGGGGCGCTACCCAAAGATGCCTTCACCTGCCTTCACAGAAAGACAGGGCCCCACTTCTAGTCAAGATGCATGAAACAAGGATTTTGAAAAGAGACATTAACTGAGATTTCCTGTTGTAATATCAAAACTTGGAGATCACATTTTTTAAATCAAGTTTTTGCTCTTTGAGCCAGAACTAAAATAAAGACCTGAAAGATTAAGCATGACGCTTCCCACTGAGTTTGTGACTTTTGAAGATGGAACCATTCTTATTCTGAATCTCGCTTTTCCCCCTGATCCCTGTTTCAAGGTGATCTGTGACTCGATCGCCTACAGTCATTGTGACCCTTTTTTAAAAGATTGTTATTTGAGAAATGGCCGGAGGGAAGGACATATGTTAGCTGTGGAGACTAAACCATTGCATTTCTACCTCTTAGACTGTCTCATTTCCATTAACAGCTGCAGTACTGTGTCAGGTGGTATCTGGGTCCTTTGTGTCTGTCACCAGCTCACAAAGGTAGTTGCGTCTCCTTTTTCTCCTTCCACTTGTCATCTGTTCGCTTGGATTTTACACTTCCTTTGGAGACCGACATTCTATACACTGAGAGATAAGGCTTCAGAACTCTCCCCAGAATAGCAAGCTGCTTGTGTCGTTAGAGGCGTGGTGGTAAAGAGCTGGCCCAGTTTGAGTCACGTGTGTTTTGTAAATGCCTATGACACTGAGTTTAGAAATTAGTACTGGGCAGCTGAAATCACCCTCAAAATTTTCCTGCCATAGTGGAGAAAGAGGACGAAGGGTTTTCTTCCCTTGCCGTGTTCTCTCAGTACCTCTTGTGGCATGGGTTGTCACCTAGTGGTGGCGAGCACACACAAGCAGATTAGAAACCTTCCTCATAGTAGTTACAAAGAAAAGATGCTTTGTTTTTGTCTCGGTTTATTCAGGATTTGGGGCGGGGGTGACATTGAAGATTTTTTTTAATGGGAGGACAAATGTAAAGACATATCCATAAAACTTTATGGAAATTGTACTATCTAGCCCCTATTTGCTTGAGCTACATTTATGAGCCTCACTGTAGTATTTACAAATGAACTTGGTCTACTTGATCCTGTTCTCTACCGAGGCTGATGTTATATTAAACCCTTGCTTATACAAAGAGGACTTGTGTTCCCTTTCATTTACTACCCAGTTGGTCATAGTCATTTGGTTTTGCTTGGAATTTGTTGAGTCAGCTTTAAGTGCAATATAATACCATTTTTTTCCTCTAAGGATTTAAAACAAAATAGTTTAACCCAGGTTTTCAAACTATGAAGCATCAGGGCAGGAGAGACGGCTCAGAGGTTAAGACTGCTCTTCCAGAGGACCTGAGTTCAGTTCCAGCACCCTAGTCAGGTGGCTCACAACTAGCTGTAACTCTAGCTCCAACACCCTCTCCTGGCCTCCGAGGGCACCTGCACTCATATGCACATACCCATACACAGATAGACGCATGATTTTTAAGTTAATTCAAGATATCAAGTATCTTGCTAACTGTTCTTTCCTCTCTCCCATTCCTTCCTTTACAATGCCCCTGTTGCCCCTCTCAGTCTTTCACAGTACAGCGATGAGAACATGATGGACCCTTATAACTTGGCCATTTGCTTCGGCCCCACATTGATGCCTGTCCCGGAAATACAGGATCAAGTGTCTTGCCAGGCTCATGTGAATGAAATTGTGAAGACCATCATCATCCACCATGAGATTATTTTCCCAGATGCTAAAGAACTGGATGGCCCTGTTTATGAGAAATGTATGGCTGGGGATGACTACTGGTAAGTTTAAGAACTGTATTCCTCCCTGTACTGAAAATAACTTAGGGATGTAGCAACTGAATTACAGAAATGAATTGCCAAGGATTAGGGAGGTAGCTCAGTACACAGTGTGCTTGCTGCTCAAAGAGGAGGACCTGACTTCGGATCCCCAGCACCCACGTAAAGGCCAGGTCCAACAGTGCATGTCTATAACTTCAGCACTGGGGAGAAGAGACAGGAGATTCCAGGGAGCTTTCTGACTCCCAGTTCAATTAGAGAGACCGTAGAGAACAAGAGAAGAAGTTGGAGAACATGGAGAACAAGAAAAGAAAACACCAATGTCAGCCTCCAGCCTCCACATGTCCACATATGGGCAAGCCTATCTGCACACACACACATGTGTACACACATATGTATACTACACCATACACACACCACACACTCACACACACACACACACACACACACACACAAATAAATGAGCTTCCCATAAGCTACCAATGCTTCTAAGTTTTAAAAAGGAAAAACATATATCAAGAGTAGCATTTGCTAGAATAGTGAGATCCATGGCAGCACTGACTTTTTTGTTTGTTTGTTTTCTTTGTTTTGTTTTTTGAGACAGGGTATCCCTATGTAGCCCCCACTGCCCTTAAACTTGCTATGTAGAACAGGATGGCCTAGGATCTACCTCAGAGATCTACCTACCGCTGCCTCCCCTCCCGAATGCTGGAATTAAAGGCATGTACCACCACACCTGGCCCAACACTAACTTTTTATAATGGAAGTTCAGCTTTATCTTCTCTTTTCTTTTTTTAGATCTACCCTATCTGGGTCCTTGTAAAATAAAGGTTTTGCTATTATAAAGGACTATATTTATTTTTATTCCTGAATTAACATACTTCATTTTCATCCTTTTTTTGGTCTTTTTTGAAACAGGGTTTCCCTGTAGCCCCAGCTGGCCTCTAACTCACTATGTAGACCAGGCCTGCCTCTGCCTCCCAAATGTTGGGGCTACAGGCATGTACCACCACACCTGGCTTCATTTTCATTCTTAATTAGAGAAGTTTTATTTGGGGTTTTGTTTTTCAGTGCCAGAGGTCAAACTCCAAACCTTACGTGCTTGGCAAGTGCTCTGCCCCTATCTGTGTCCCTAGCCTAATCAGATAGTTTTGATTCCATGTCAAGTATTTTAATTCTCTTTTTACAGAAGCCCTGTCAATCAAATACATTATTCTTCTCACTTATTTTTCACTCTTACAAGTAAATATTACTCTGACCAGTCATAGTAATGAGTCATTATGAGCAAATTTATATTGTAGTATATTTTGAGAATAAATATTTTTTTCACTTATCACTTTCCAGCCAAGTACACAAATGTGGAGGGGAGAGAAAGGGGGAACTGTGGTCAACTAATAATTTCAAAAGGCAGAAATCTTTAAATGTTCATGCTCACTATTTGATTTGTGAGTTTTGACCATTTTCCTAGAAATCATATACAACAAAGGAACCTCCAAGTGCTTGAGCCTCTCTGATGTGATAACTAGTCAGTGCACATCATTTATTTATCAAGAACATCATACCAAATAAGTTAAGAGAGGCCAATAAGCTACCCAACAATTAGTATTTAATATCAGTATTAGTATTTAATAGTAACTGAAAGCAGCCCAGGTATCTCAGCTCATTTTCTGTTGCTGTGACAGAATGCCACAGACTGGGTAATTTAGAAAGAAGAGAAATTTGCTTCTCATAGTTCTGGAGACTGAAAGGTCTCATTTTGAGACTTCTGGTGAGGGCCTTCTCTTCTCTAACAAGGGAGAGGGCATCAAATGCGAATTTGGGGATTCAGTTTCCAACACGTGAACTTTAGGGGACCCTGTGGGACCATAACACCAGATCCATCTGATTCCAAGTCATAGGAGTCTTCCCAGTCAAAGCCTTCCTGTCTACCCTAGAAACTTCCTGGGTATCTGGGACACAGACACAGCTAGAAAGAGACATATCTACAGCCCTTACTCTGCACCTGACTCAGGATGCTGCTTAGTCCCATTTCTTTACACAACACTGAGTAGAATGAAAAAGTGCCTAGAAGATAAAAAAAAATAATTAAAAAAAAATTTTTTTTTCACTTGAGTCATACATACTATGGACGGTTAAGAAAACCAAGTGTTGACTATTGCCAGAGTGCTGCTTTCAAAATTAGGAATGAAGCATGCTAGAGTTCTGTGGTATACCCACCAGCTTTACACATGGAACTCTATTTGGAAATATTTACTTGAATACTTAGATGCAAGGTACTGACTAAAGTTTTCTTCTGGGAAGGTAAGTGAGCAAACTCTGCCCTACTGAGGTATAATTTCATTTTCATAGTCTCATTTGCATTAAGGCCAGTGTCAGAGGCATGGTCAGGATTCCCTAAGGACTAGGGCTGCATCAGTAAGCGCTGCTATCTTATTCACTGTACAAAAGACACAGTATGTGGCTATCTGCTGAGCATTATCTGATGTGTTATATTTGAGGACACTGTGGCTGCTACCCTTTCCAAGCAGGACAAAAGCCTGTATAGGTCTTGCAGTCAATGACATGGACTTAAACATTTTTCTGCTTATAAATAGTGTTTCTATGGAAACCATTTATGAGGGGCTTGTGGGGTGTGTGTGTGTGTGTGTGTGTGTGTGTGTGTGTGTGTGTCTAAGATGTCAGGTTTCCTGTGCTATATCACTCTCTGCCTTATTCACTTGATGCAGAGTCTCTCACTGACCCTGGAGCTAGGCTGGCAGCCAGCAAGCCCCAGCTATCCTCCCGTTTCTGCTCCCCTCAGTGCTAGGGTTACAGGTTACACAACCACACCCAGCTCGTTACATGGGCGCTGGAGACTCAAACTGAGGTCTTCATGCTTGCACAGCAGTGGTCTATTTTAAAATAATCTCTCCACTTTGGTTTCATGTGCATTTGCATTTCCACTCCTCAGCGACAGCCCATACAGTGAGCACGGTACATTGGAGGAAGTGGACCAAGATGCTGGTACGGAGCCCCACACCAGTGAAGATGGTATGTCCTGCACTGTGCTGCTATAAGACAAGTTGTTGTTTTTCTTAACAGTAGAGTTTCCGGTCTTCTTTGGTTTGGCTTAGTGTATTTCAGCTTGACTTTAGTTTTTTTCTTATGTGAGATGTAAGAATTGGGTATGTGTTTTGAAAATACCTCCTCCTGCTCTGGTTTATCTTTTCATGTGCTATGAAAATCATCCTCCCCATCCCATCCTTCTGTCCCCTCCCTCTCTCCTCCCTTCCTGCCGCCACCCCCAGTTCCCCTATTCTTTCCTTAACAGATCTACCCTCTTCATCAATTTGTGATCATAATCCAGGTTTACACACCAGAGCTCTAGAGCTTATTCACCTTACCTGGCTGAAACTTTATTCCTGTTTATTCCTTTATTCCCTCTTTCTGGCCCCTTGACTACCTCATATCACCCTTTGGGGCTATGAAATGGACTGTTTTAGACACTTCATGTAAGTGGACCCACGCAGTAGCTCATTTCATTTAGCAAAATGTCTTTTGGTTCCTCCATGTTGGAGAACTTGCTTTTTTAAAAAAATCTGAACAGCATCCCACTGTGAGTGTGTTTCACATTCTCTTTACCTCTTCCTCCACCTCTGGGAATGTAGGTTGTTTCCCCCTCTTCCCTGTGGTAACAAGGGCTGCAGGGAATTTCCATAGGGCTGTGATATGTCTTTGTGATTCTGACGCCAGTTCTTTTGGATAAGTAACTGAATTTCTGGATCACATAACAGTTCTTTTTAATTTTTTTTTTTTTTTTTTTGGAGCTCCCATACCATTTCCCATAACACTTGTATGTACCATTTGCAACAAATTCAAGAGTTTCAGTTTCTCCATGTCCTTGACATTTGTCTTTGTCATTGTGATTTTCATTTGCATATGCCTAGTGATTACTGATGTTGGCCATTTGTATGTCTGCTGTGGCCCTGTATTCTCTTTTAAACTCTTTCAAGTTTGGTTTTTCACTCGGTTCTTACTCTTTCTTTGGAGGTTATCATATGAGGTAGGGGTCATTTACTTTTCCTCCATATGGATTCATAGCTGGAAGATTGTCCCAGCATGAACTGTCCTTTGTCCACTGTTTCACATTTTGTTATAAACGAAGCGTCTCCTATGTGTAAAGTCTCTCCATACATTCAGTTCTTCCCAGTGGCCTATGTGTCCCTACCACTGTCTTAATTTGATACCTTTATAAAATCTGAAGCAAGACCTCTAGCTTTGAACCTCTTAACAGTTCTTGACCCTTTGTAATTCCAGTTAAACTTTAGACTCAGTTTTAAATGCTTAGAAAAACTATTTTTCAAAATCTTTAAAACCCTCTTGGGATTTGAATTGCAGTTATGCTGATTTTACATATGTTAATATGGAGAGAATTGATACCTATACTATTTATATCTATATTATACTCCAAATTAACTTTGATATTTCTCTTAAAAGATCAGTTTTAACTTTTAAATTTTAATGCTTAACATTAATTTTTTAGCACATTTTTGTGGTGCTGGGGACTGAATGCAGTGCCTTGTGTGTTAGACTCTGAAGTACTCAACCACTCAGCTACGTCCCCAGCATTTGGGTTTTTGAGACAGGGTCTTACTGCGTAGCACAGGCTGGCTACAAACGCACAGTCCCCTTGCTCCACCTCCGAAGTCCTGGGGTAGTTGGTATATACAAACGCACAGTCCCCTTGCTCCACCTCCCAAGTCCTGGGGTAGTTGGTATATACAAACGCACAGTCCCCTTGCTCCACCTCCCAAGTCCTGGGGTAGTTGGTATATACAAACGCACAGTCCCCTTGCTCCACCTCCCAAGTCCTGGGGTAGTTGGTATACACCAACATGCACGGCCACGTTTTCCTTTTTTCATATGTACGGTACGTTTTCTCTTTAGCTGTATGCAGATTCTTCTGTTCTCTTGTCCATTGAACGTCTCACTTCTTTATTCCTATACATTCTATTTGGTGTGCTTTGCTATTTGCTGCTTGATCATCTTTTACAGTTTCTTGATCTTTACTCATAACATCAGTCCTTTCCACTGTTTCAAGTTACGTCTAATAATTCTAATACACGTTCTGGCCCCCACTCTTGAGTGTTATTTTCCAGTGTGCTTATAAATTTTTTACATATTCTTAGAACTTTAGTGTCACTTGAAAATAGGCTCCTATAAAAAGTCAAAGTCTTTTCCCTGAGCACAAAAGCCTAAGACAGCTTTCCATTTTCAGCTTGAGGCTTTTCATATGGACTGGTCTTATGAATTTAAAGTGCAAACTCTCACGCCAGCCTGAGAACAAGAGGTCACCAAGGATTCTCAGAGATAATGCACTCCAAAGTGGGACACAGATCATTTCCTTCAGAAAGTAGTACAGATCTATAGAGCATGTGAGATGGTTACAGGGTATGAAAGGATATGGAAGATGGAGGTTGGGTCTAGAAAACAGACGTGTTCTAGAAACTTCTAGAATATTCATTGCGGTTCACCGGGACACAAAGTGTGCACCTCTTTTGGAAAGAGACAAGGATGCAGATTATCCGTACCAAGCAAGCCCTCGACTTGATCTCCTGTTGGGGTAGGGGGTAAGAAAAGCTAGGGAAATGCCCTCAAAGCCAAATCTGACTGGTGACCCAATGCTCTAGGGGCCTTTTAGTTCCCAGTTTGTCTTTTGCCTTTTAGTGCATCTTCCTGTCTCAATAGCTTATTAATGTCATCTAAAAGTTATTTTTAAAAACCTATCACTTTTCATTGCTTTTAGAAGGAGAGTTAGAAGGAGAGTACTTAGTGTCCACTACCTGCTAAAAAGTTTCCTCATGTCTTTAAAAGTAAGGTGTATTGACATTTTCCAGACTTCAATTAGCAGTCATTATTTAAAGCAAGAGCTTGTATTTCTATGATGCTTTTGAAAGTCTCTGAGCCCTACCTCCATCCTCATCCTTTTCTTTGTCTGGGGTTCCTCTGGTTCTCTCCAGTTCATTCCTCTTTCTCTGCTGTCTTCTTAGTGTTCCCTTTGCTTTCCTCCATGGAAAAAGAGCCTAGGTAAAGCCCTAGCCATTTCTCTTCCAAATATCAGTCTTGCCTTCACGACATCTACCCCGTGTTTACCTCTTGACTATAAGAGAAAAGCGTTGTTGAGTGTTCTATATTAGATCTCATTTTGATCATGATCACTTGATTTTTTTCTGGAAAGAAAAGCACTGCTCACAAAGGACATATTCTTGCCCACAGCCACCCTCCAAAGTTCTGTAACTAAATTAATTGTAATATTGGTTGACTTTTTGATTGTCAGATATTATATTTCTTCTTCTTTATCAGAGTATCACTAGAAAGACCAAAAAACCATCCTGTGCAAGAGCAGTAGATACCATATCCAGGAGGAAAGGTCTCAGGGATAATAAAGTCCCCAAGGGAAAGCACAACATTATTACATCATACTAAAATTATAGGAGTGGGAACAAGATTTGATAGCACCAGGCAGGCAGGGTAGCAGCTCGTCTTCCCTTCTGCACAGTTATCACAGCCTGTCAGGAGCACTAAGTGACAGTGTTATACCCTTTCTAGTATTGTTATTGAAGTCAGCATTCTATGACGTCTCTACCGGACCCCAAAGGACCATAAGGCTCAACGTATGAAAGGGCCATGTTGCGCCATGCCCTGAGATCGATTTGCCATGCAATGCCTAGGCTAAGACGTGTGTAAATAGCTTATTGATTGACACTTGCCTGTGAAATGGCTCCCAGGGGAGTATAAAGACTCAAAATAATGAAATTGCTCAGAATTACTCGTTGATATACTGGGATTACCAGTAAAATGTCTTTCTGATTCATGTGGTCATTCTTGCATAATCTGCCCACATTTCAGTAAAATTCTCAAGTCTGATAATTCTGTTGCTTGTTGTTTGAAAAAAACAATGATAAAAGGAGGTAATGATCACAAGTCATGGTTTTGAAATTACAAAATACTGTTGTCTTAGATAGCCTTTGGCCAGCATTAATAGTGTAACATTGATGCACTAAAGAGCATCATGATTCTTTGTTCCTCCTTGACACGGTGTATGTAGATTACACACCGTGTCCTCAGGTGATACCTTTTAAGTTTTTTAGTCAATCAAATATAAATATATGGGTGTATTCATACAGAGATTTGCAAATTCTGTGTCATGAAGTTATTTTTAATAAATTAGCATGGTTTCAAGTCCATGCACATGTATTTTTCTGTCCTCCAGGGAGAATTGGAGTATAAAATTCAGTACCCTGTCATCTCAAACCAACCAGGAGTCTTTTATCTGGTAATTCAGAACAGACACAAAAAAATAAATCATTCAGCTTAAGTGTAAAGCTATATCCCCTCTTCTGTGAAACAGATCTGTCAATATTTAATAGAACCATCACTTATGTTTTAATAAAATGTGATTTTAGGTGGTGTATTCACAGAGTAACTAACAGAAGCAACTTTAGAGAGAAGAGGCTTATTCAGTTCAGGGGATACAGCCCATCATGGTGGGGAAGGCATGGTAGCCATGGCTGTGGCAGCAGGAGTGACGGGTGGACGGTTACTGGTTACACACTGGTAGTCAAGAAGCAGAGAATCTGGGCTAGAGCCTGGTCTAGCTGTAACTCTCTAGCTCTGCCCTTTACAGCTCCACATCTGCCAGCTACACCCCATGTCTAAAAGGTTGTATAATACCCCAAAACAATGCCCAACTGAGGACTCTTAAACCATGAGCCTGAGAGAGACATTTCACATCAAACCAATACATCAATACATGATCTGAAAGTTTTATTTAATTGCTAAAATGATTAAACTGTTGTTCTGGAAATTACTCTCTCACTTTTTCCATTCAGGTTCTAGGGTCATGGTACGGCAGTGTGAATAATATTTACCTCAAACATTACCCGCTAGCAAAAAGATGAGGCACTTTTCTTTGTCTCTAAAATGCTTTGATGAAATTTATACAGGCCCTTCATTTAAAGTTTTTCAGAATGTGTGTTGATTTTTATGCTTTTACTTTATACACCCCAGAGAATTTCGAATTTATACAAAATTTTCTCATACGATTACTACACATAAGTTCAACAATTACTGCAGTAACCCTGAGGAAGAATTCCTAAGTGAATTCCCTTAAGTGAACAGATGTTTTCAACCAAGGGAAATAGAAAGCATTTTCCTGAAGAACTGTTGAGAGACTGGCGGCTCCTACTCTGTCCCATGTGCACATAATCTGGAGTATTTTGAAATGAATTAATGCCCAGATTTTAGCAAAGGAGGTACTATTGATTGTGTAGACATAGTTCTGTAAGTGTACACCCGTTGCCCTTTTTCTTCCTGTTTATTGTTCATTAGCTGTGTTTAATAACAGGGATGGGAATGAGGGTGGAAGAGAGGAGGGAAGCTCATGAGGCCTTGAATAGAGAGCACTTTCTGCAGTAGGGCTAAAATCTCAGACGCCCCCTTCTAGTGGTTATTAAGTTAGCTTGCCCTCTTTCTTCCCTTCCGTATTTGATCACAATGAAATCAGAGTGGAATTCTTGTTCTAGACCCAAAGTTTAATCCCTTTTCTTCTCTCCCTTCCTCCCTCCCTCCCTGCCTCCATCCCTCCATCCCTCCCCACTTTAGTTTTGTTTTTAAGATCACTGTAGATCTGTATGCAATTATAGGACACAATGCGGAGATCCTGTATACCCTTCTCACAATTCCCTCAGTGATAATATCTTACATAACTATAATACATTATCACAACCAGGAAATTGTGTTGATATATTCCATTTCTATATTCACATTTCACATGCACTCACCTGTATGGTTTACTGAGTTCTGTACAGTTTTATCACATACACAGATTCGTGTGCCCACAGTCACATGCAAGATAAAGAAAAGCGCCATTACAAGGATCCCCTGTGCTACCCTCGGGAGCCATAGCCGCTTCCTCCATCACCTCACCCACCACAGCCCCTGGCAGCCACTGATCTATTCCCCATCTCTATAATTACGTTGTTCAAACAATGCTATATGAATGGGGTATCAATATGCTTCTGAGATCTGACCTCTTTTTACTCACTTGCTCACTGCCTTTCCTATCGATATCTCTTGGTCCTTAATAAACACAGTTTTTTAATATGACCTTTCAATTTGGGTGCTGGGTGTTCTAAGTTATACGTGTTTCATGATTAAATCTAAAATATTTACTGAAGTGAGAGCAACTGCTTTTACTAGTTTCGATGTTGATGTGAAGATGTGACAGTACCAAGAAAGCCAGTGAGGAAAGTAAAAGCCTTCAGATAATACTCAGCGGACTGATTTTATGTGATTTTTAAAAAACTAATAAAGTATGTTTTCTGGAAGAGTGACTTTTCTGTTATAAATGGTATTAACATGTTGCAAGGACACTCCATCAATGTCAAAATAATATTGGAGCAACAGTGGAGGATATTACAATTCACAGAGAGATTTTATACATTATATTGCAAAATTAGAATATTTTGTAGTAGACTGTCATAGAATCTCTAACAAGAGAACGAGGACATTAATATCTAATGTTCAGTTTTTCTTTGTCTAGAAAACTGATGCTAGCCAGATGATGTTTTTCTCTCTTTTAAGTGCCTCTTATTTCCCCCTGCTTTGACAATTTGTTTATTGCTTTTGTACAGCCTGTCTATTAAAGCCTCAAGTAGACCTTCAGAGAGTGTCTTGTGCCTTCCTGACATCCCTGTCCCTGTGTTTTTTTAGAATGTGAACCAATCGAAGCAATAGCCAAGTTTGACTATGTCGGGCGGTCAGCTAGAGAGCTATCCTTCAAGAAAGGTGCCTCCCTGCTGCTGTATCACCGAGCCTCTGAGGACTGGTGGGAAGGCCGGCACAATGGGATTGATGGGCTTGTGCCTCACCAGTATATAGTGGTGCAGGACATGTGAGTAATCCCAACTTTTCACCTGCCTGAGGATTCCAGTTACAGGAGGGTTGGGGGTTTCTTGTGGGGTGGGCAAGGGAAGGTGTTTCTTTTGTAGTTCTGGAAATTGAACCCAGGGCCTTATGTTAGGCAAATGCTCAGCCCCTGAGATACAGCCACTGTCCCCTAGCTACTGTTCTTAAATTGACTTCAGCATTATAAATTAAAGAGCAGAAGAGGTTGCAGAGATGAAACTGAGCTGGGCACAGTTTTCCACCTTCCTAGTGGCGTTAATGGTAAATTAATCATTTATACATTGTGTATAGCACACTTCTCTTTCCTTGAATGTCTACTCTTAAATTGGTAATACATTCTACATATTGTACTAAAAAAGTCAGGATGGGACTGGGGTGTGGCTAAACTGGTATAATACAGTGCAGTCTACGGCACTGCATACATCAGGTGTGGTAGTCACACCTATCATCCCAGCACTATACAGGAAGGAGGCTCAGGAGTTCAAGGCCATCCTTGGCTACAAAGCAGATTCAAGACCAGCTTGCTAACAGTTCAGAACCAACAAGTATTCATTTCCCAATCAAGATCAATCCTGGATCAAGAGAGTTAGAACAACAGCTAGTGGGAGTCAGGAGTCATCTTCTGAAGCTTTCTTAGAAAGATAACCTCTGCAGAGAGTGACTTTAAAAGTTAGGGTTACAGTGGTAATTCCAAAAATAGCCAGCTCTTCTTCTCCATTCTCAAGAGGGAGGCTGCTAGCTCATAGTTGAAAGGAATCACTTCTAAGATCTTGTTGCTGTTTTAGTTTTGCTGATGAGAGTGCTAAAATTTTCAAAAATATTTAAGGACATGTAAGAATAGTTGTAATAGTGAAAGAAACAGGTCACACAATAATATATACAGTATAATCCCTATTTTCTGAGTATTCTATTTTACAATTCATTACCAACTTCAGAGTGACTTTCCAGGGAAAAAGAGAAATGCCATATAAAGTGAATATAAATATTTAATAATGCAGCATAATTTTAGAAATAATAAAATGTGTATATGAGACTCCAAGAACGATTTTCTATATAAACATGAGCTGTGTATATCTAAACTACCTAAACATAGAGAGATTCATTATCTGTACTATAAATACTGAACATGTACATACACACCTTCATAGATAATGTATTCTAGACAGGAGAGAAGCAGTGAAAGATATTTCCTGCAATTCCAGCCATAATTGCTTCTGGGTACTGTATTATTGTGTCATTCATTTTACATATGTGAAATTTCCAATTTACCTATAACAGAATTGCATTGTGTTTATAATGAAAAGCCACATTAATAAAAACTTAGGTAAATGCCACCCCTGAGTCTTGCTCCCTTTCATCCCAAGACCCTCACTCTTGCTTGTCATTGCTCCAGGGATGATACATTTTCAGATACTCTGAGCCAGAAAGCTGACAGTGAGGCCAGCAGTGGGCCAGTCACTGAAGACAAGTCTTCATCCAAGGACATGAACTCTCCAACTGACCGTCATTCTGACAGCTACTTAGCCAGGTGAGTGCTATGTGGTCCTCACCTCCTAACCTCCCCTTCTCCAGGGGCTCCTCCCCTTCTCCAGGAGCTATGCGGAGCCCTCATTCCCACAGCCTCACAGTATTACCCAGTGTGATAAGTGCCTCTGTTTTCTTTTTTTTTCTGTGAATGTCTAGACAAAGAAAAAGAGGAGAGCCACCCCCTCCAGGAAGACGTCCTGGCAGGACCAGTGACAGCCACTGTCCCCTTCATCCCCCACATGCTCTTTCCAATTCCTCAGTTGATTTGGGGTCGCCAAACCTAGCCAGTCACCCCCGGGGTCTGATGCAGAACCGTGGCCTCAACAACGACAGTCCTGAGAGGAGGCGCCGGCCAGGCCATGGCAGCCTGACCAACATCAGCCGGCATGATTCCCTCAAGAAGATTGACAGCCCTCCCATCAGGAGGTCCACATCATCAGGGCAGTACACAGGCTTCAATGACCACAAGCCGCTGGACCCAGAAACAATTGCTCAGGTATAATGATTTTAATGAAATGTTGCATTTTAAGTATCTAGGTGTCATGAAGGATTTATAAAATGGAGGATTTATAATCTATAACTGTGTTTCCATACAGAAATAACTAAAGAAGACAAAGGAAATTCAGTCTCTGATTTAAAGCTTGGCTATGAATCTCTTCAGAACATTCATTTGTTCCTGGAAGAGGCCAAGTATATTAGGTTCATACTGATTTAAACAGAGATGTGGCAGAAATGAAGGAACCAGGACGTTTGAACCCATCACTGGTGAATAGCCAGGAAAATACTGAAAAGGAAGAATAAGGAAGAAGAGGCAGCAGATCCTCAGTACAATCTAAAGCTAACAACACAGACAGATGCAGAGAGCAGTATAGAAATCCCAGGAAAGGAAAAATAGTACCAAAGGTGCCATTTAGTCAAATAACGTGATCAATAATGGTTTGCCATCTGAAGAACAGTCCTACTGGCTCCTGTGCTCTCCAACACCATGTCTCCTCCTCCCAACACTGACTACAGAGAGGGGCTCTGTAGTTTATCTCTAACGATCAGAATTGACAGCAGAGTAAAACAGTATTAATGAATTTTCCCATTAGTCTGCCATTCAGCCCTCTGGTTCTCTTTACAGCATAGCATGTCAGAAAATGTGTTTATAGCCAGCAACAGAGGAAGTAACTAGATTTAGTGCTGGACATTTGGGTAGTCTAAAGCATCCTCCAGCTATCTCTGAATCTTTAAAGCTACCTAAACAGATCAAAAAGAGAGTGAGTGAGAGATGAATGGAACATACGAGGAATTATCAACGGATTATTCACAATAAAAAGTACCGCTGGAAACCTGCCTTCATAGGACAGATTCCCAGACAATTTTGAGAGTCCTAATGGTAAAGAATTTTAGATAGCAAATTAGATTGAATGAGTACTTTAATGCATTTTAAAACAATTAAATGAATTTTAAGTATATAGCGATTTCTCAGCAAAAATCAAAAGGGCTTTTGACCTTTTGGGCTTTTCTATTTAGAGTGTTATGCAGGGCCCTTTGAGACCTATTTAGAATCAGTTACATTTGACTGTAGCTGAACTTAATGATTTGAGAAACCTCTAACATCATTGTTGCAATAAGCCAGTGAAATGTGATTTAGGTTAGACAGAGATTTAGGAGCTTGAGGGTAGAAAGGCAAAGTCTGTTTAACACTTTCATTCCCAGAATCAGGAAATCATTTTATTGTAAATTATAAGCAGAAAAGTCAACAGATAAACCAGTGTCCACACATTGTATCTGGGGCAAATACTTCCTTTAAAAAATCCACATTTTTAACAGTAAAGGAAATCACATATGAAAGCAATTGTTTGAAAAGTGATGTCACCCTGGAAAATCGGCTTCCCTCGCCCATCTTCAGAGTTTCCCAGGAGGACAAGTAAGCATGCCATTGTGCTGCTCATACAAAAACATGCAAGTCCTTTTAGTCACAAATCAGTGGAAGCCCGGAAGGAAATTTCAAGGAAACAACACTTATCAATGATCATCACGTTTGGTTTATTCATTATTGGAGACTGTAATATTGTATCTTGGCTTATTCATTTAGCAAAACACTGAACATTGACTGTATCCAAGGACCTGGGATACACTCTCTAGATGAAAAGGCTGAACAACAGCCGCTTTACAAAGTGCTCGAAAATCTGTGTGAGAAAAGGACATGGAAGGCAGCTGGGGGAGTGGGGGTGAGGATTCAGGTCCACGTGCAGGGAAAGATGTCCTGGGGAAGTGGAGAAGAGGAATTTCAGCCAGAACAGGGCAGGGTTTCACCCCATCTCAACACTCAGTACCTTTTTTAAATTTCTGGCTGGAAAAAATCAATTTTCCTATCTTAACCATCTTTTAAATATAGATAGTTCAGTAAGAATATTCACATTCTTGTGAAAGCTTTCCAGAACTTCACAAAACTGACACTCATTAAATAATTCCCAATTTTGCCTTCCTATAGCCCCTGGCAACCACAACCCTTCTTTCTGCTTCTATGAATTAGACTTCTTCACATCCCTCATATACATGAAATCACACCATAGTTATAGATTTTTCTGACTGTCTTGATCCATAGAGCAGAATGTCCTCAAGGTGCATACACATTGTAGCATGTGGCAAGATTCCGTTTCTTTTAAATTCTGAATGATACTCCATTTTCCATCTAGAATATGTACTCCACGTGTTCTCTATCCATCCTTCAGTTCTTCATCCTTTGAAATAAATTTCTGTAGTTTGCCCTTCCCCATCAGAAATAGATCAATGATATATCTAATTTGAAAAACATAAAGCTTTTTAACAAAGGATAAATAAAAAGACATCAATATTTAAATAATTAAATATATTCCCATCTGTAACTTTTTTCTTTTTATTTACACAATAGCTTCACATATTTATAGGATGCACCATATAATAATCAAGCCAGTATTAAAGAGTGGTCAGCGTTACAGCTTCCTTAGACACTTACCATTTCTCTGTGTTTGCATCCTTTAATTCCTTCTTCTATTTCTAAAATATAAACCAGTTACCATGTTGTAGAGCACTAGAACTTGTTCTTTATATGAATATGAATTAACTATACAGAAGACAAGAGAAGAGTAAAATGTTTTCACGTACATGTAGAATTTCCATCAGTTCATTAGTTTAAAATGCATATTGACATGGGAATATTAATTTAATTTGGTTATCTTATATACTCCATGAAAGATATTCCTACTAGAGATGTGAATTTTTTTCAAAAGAATAGACAGCCCTTGGTCACACAATTCTAATCAAAGCAAAGAATGATTCATATGGTAGTTGCACTCTTACAGAATTTGACACCATGCAGAAAGTATTTCATGTTTATATATTGTCGATCTACGTGACAATCAAAGAGACATTCTTCAAAGAATGATGGTGTTTATTTAGGAATGGCAGCACACTGCTTGAGAATATATGCTGTCGTAAACTGGAAGCAAATTCAAAGAAGGTGAGGTAGAGAGGCATTTTAAAGGTGAAATTGGGAGGATTGCATTATTTTGAAAGAGTAATGCTTGGCTACAAGGACTAATAAATAAGCCTGGCATCCATCTAAGGTTGGACAGTTGCTGGGAGGATGTCCTTACAGAAATATTTTTTTATAAAAGATTGCAGTGGACTTTGTTCAGGGTTGGAGATCTGGCAGTCTTCTGTGCATAGCTTTTTTTTTATTAGGCACATATACATGAGATTCCCTCCTTTAAACCTTCCATTTATTTATTTGTTTGTTTGTTTATTTATTTAAGCATGAGAAATGATTCTCACAGTTGTCACAATATCAAAGAGATAAAAGTGATATGAGAAAGGAGATAAAATAGAGCCGTCTGTCGCTTATCCCTGCCACCAACAAAAGGACCACAATAAAGAATAAACAACTGTTATCCATCCAAGTGGTGTGACTAAGGAAGTGTACTGAAGTGCTCACAGGGAAGTGGCATGATCCTGCAGACATGAAAAGCCAAGATAGCACCATAGACAGGAGAGCGAGGCACCCCGCCTCTCCCACTCTGCCTCCCATGCCCCAGAGTGGATTCAACACTCAATGGATTTCCCATGGGCAAATAAGCTAAAGACCTCTGGAAGTCCTCATCACTATGCAGATGTCTGCACAGGGGACCCCCACAGTCCTCACAGGCCCAACACAGTGTGAATTGCCCAGAGTTCACAAGGCTGTACAGCCACAAGGGCAGGAATCCACTATCTACTCTCCCTGACCTAGGCTGCTATGACACAGCACCATCTTAGAACTGGACCCACTGTTGGAGTGTTTGCTCCTCTAGGGGCTGGTGACCATGCAGTGTCTCCCTTTCAATTTTTCTGATGTCATCTTCCATGCTCACTTGAGTGGCTGCAGCACTAAACCTGACTGCTCAGAGCCTAGGCCCAACAGAAAGGCCAAGATCTCAACTTCCAAACTCATGCTGAGCTTTGATGCCCACACAGAAAGTAGGATTGCACAGAGGGGCAGTGGACACACAGGTGGCAGAGCAAATGGGGTTGCATTTCACCCAGTAATTATCCAGGCAGCAGCCCTGATGCCCCCACAAGCCTGCCACACACACACAGGCTCTAACACACACACATATACTACAGTGGCCCAGCCGACATCCAGGCACAGGCCTGATTCCCTGTGAATCCATTGCACGCAGCTAGCCTGCAGTGTGAGAGCCAGGCATAAGAGCCAGGAGACAGCCCTGCCTACCAAGAAGCCTGCCATGCTGCTACAGCCCCCAGCACCTGCTTACTTCCACACTGTCCCAGTGATAAGCCAGGTGGTGGCCCCACCCCCAGCAAAACTGTGTCATACCACTGCAGTCACAGACACCCAAAGCCTAGACCAATGATGCAATCACAGACATCACTGATAAAGATTATAATGAAGATAGCACACAGGACCATGCATCTAATATACTATCTAACATACCCAGCCAAAACCCTAACACTCATCCATAGCCAAAAGCCTCTCTGAAGAAAAAAAAAATTCTTTAAAATTTTAAAAGGTGGGACTGGAAGGATGACCCAGTGGTTAGGACTCAGGTTTGGATCCAGCATCTACATGGCAGCTAACAACCATCTGTAACTCCAGTTCCAGATATTCTGACACCCTCTTCTGACCTCCATGAGCACTGCACCCATGTAATATGCTTACCTATGCAGGCATACACTCATACACACACATACACACACATATATATATAAACTTTTTATGAGCTGGGCATAATGCTCTTAATCCCAGCACTCAGGAGGCACAGGCAGGAGGATCTCTGTGAGTTAGAGGCTAGTTTGGTCTACATAGCCAGTTTCAGGCCAGCCAGAGCTACTCAGTGACACCTTGTCTCAAAAAACCAACCAGTGGCTGGAGAGATGGCTCAGTAGTTAAGAGCACTGGCTGCTCTTCCAGAGGACACAGGTTCGAACCCCAGCACCTACGGCAGCTAACAACTGTCTGTAACTCTAGTTCCAGAGGATTCAGCGCCCTCTTCTGGCTTCCACAAGCATTGCATGACATGGATGCACTTACATGCATGCAGACAATACATTCATACAAATAAAATAAAATAGACAACTGTGGGAAATTTGAAAAGGTGACTGTTGCACTAGATGTGCAAATATCAACACAGGAACCAATAATATATAGAAAGAATAGGAACACTATAGCACCCTAAGAGCAGACCCCAACAAAAAGGAAATTCACAGAATGCCTGAAAACAAATTCAAAATAATGATCACAAAGACGCTAAGTGAGATCCAGGAGGCTACAAACAATTCAGGGAAATAATGGAACCATTCATGATCTGAATGATGAAATCAACAGATAGAAATCATGAAAAAGAACAACAACAATAATCTTCCAGCTAAAAAACTCAGTAAGTAGAATAAAAAAGCAATACAATTGAGAGCCACAACACAGGACTGAGTGAACCTGAAGAATGAATTCCAGGACTTAAGGATCTTTTGAATTAACCCAATCAAAGTAAAAGAATCAAACAGTAAATAGAGAGTGGGAGAAGTCCATGAGACCTGTGGAGTATCATAAATGGAACTCCAGAAAGAAAAAACATAAAAGCACAGAAAGCACACTTGATAAAATAATAGATGAAAACTTCTGAGTTTTGAGAGAAGTACTGAAATCCAAATCCATAAAGTTCAAAGACCCCCCAACTAACCTCAGGCCAAAGAAGTCTTCTCTAAAGCACATTATAGTCAAGGGCTCAAAAGTCAAACACAAAGAGATCTCTGAAAGCACCAAGAGAATAAAATCAAATCACATATGAAGGAGTCATGAGACTAAAGTAGGTTTCTCAGCAGAACCTTGTAAGCCTGGAGAAACTAGAATTCTGTATTTAGACTTTTTTTTATTTACTTGTTTTTAGTATTTTATTTATTATTTTTATTTTATGTGTATGAGTGTATTGCCTGCATGTAGGTAAGTGCCCCGGTGTCATGCAGTGCCAGAGGTCAGAAAAGGACATCAGATTCCCCTGGAACTGGAGTTTTAGACAGTTGTTAGCTGCCATTTGGCTGCTAGAATTCAAACCTAGTTCTTCTGCAAGAGCAGCCAGTGCCCTTAACCACTGAGCCATCTCTGCAGCCCCTCGAAATTTTTAAATGTGAAAGAAAAAATGCTTCCAGACAAACTAAGATGTCATTCAGAAATGAAGGAGAAATAAGGGAAGACAAGCAAAAATGGAATCACTCCTAGCCCTGCACTTAAGAAATGCGTAAGAGGGGGCCTACATCTAGATGTGAAACAGAAATAACTACCATTATGAGAACACATGAAAGTATAAAACTCATAGTTACCACAAAGGCTAGGAAAGGGCAGGGTGTTTGGAGGGAGGACAGTTAAGAGGTACAGGTAATTCAGCTGGATTGAGAAATAACTTCTACCGCTCTGTAAAATAACCAGTATTTACGTATATATATATATATATATATATTAAAATACCTATTAGAAAGTAATTTGAATGTTCCCAGCACAAAGAAGTGATATGAGGTCATGTATAGACTTCAAAACCTACTCTAATTATGTGTGTGTGTATAAAATATCACAGAACCCCATAAATATGTATAATTTACTGGTTTATTTTTACAACTTTAAGAGTTATATTCTGGTTATAATAAACAGTTTTCAGGTGTGGGTTTTGTTGTGGTGGTGGTAGTGGCGGTTGTTTGGTTTCTTGTAGACCTGGCCAGCCTTGAATTCACAGAGATCCACCTGCCTCTACCTCCCGAATGCTGGAATTGAACCTGTGCACCACCACATGTGGCCAGAGCTTTCACTTTTATTAATGTCCGGAGAGGGACTAGAGAGATAGTGCAGTAGATAAAGTGCTTTCTGCACATGATGGGTGTGCACTTAACCCTCATGTGGGGGAGGCAGAGGGCAGACAGCTCCCTGGGAATTGCAGGCCAGCCAGACTAGCTTAATCAATGAGTTCCAAGAAAGCGAGAGACTCTCAAAAAGCAAAGTGGACAGTGCCTGATGAGTAACACTATGTTGACCTCTGGCGTCCATGTATACATACACACAAGTACACACCTGTGTGTGCATGCACACACATACATACACAAAAGAGAATTCTGTATTACACAAGATAGAGACCTTCAATAGGCTGTCTAGTACCTCAGAATTACAAGTATTTAATCTTTGGCTCTCTGTGCCATCGCTTCTTGGTCCCCAGATCATTTAGACTCCGACTCTAAATGCACAAGGTAACATGTTTAGATAGTCTGCAAACTGTAAAGTTCAAATATTCATACTCTTCTTCTTTGCTCTGAACTGCAATGTAGAGGTTTCTATAATTGTCAGCCTATTCTTTCTGATTATTTTTCAATAGGATATCGAAGAGACCATGAACACTGCTTTGAACGAACTCCGTGAACTAGAAAGACAGAGCACAGCAAAGCATGCCCCCGACGTGGTGCTGGATACCTTGGAACAAGTGAAAAATTCTCCCACCCCCGCCACTTCCACAGAATCTCTCAGCCCGCTGCACAACGCTGCCCTCAGGAGCTCAGAACCTCAGATCCGACGCAGCACCAGCTCCTCCAGTGACACTATGAGCACTTTCAAGCCTGTGGTGGCACCCAGAATGGGCGTGCAGCTGAAGCCTCCAGCCCTTAGGCCAAAACCTGCTGTTCTTCCAAAAACAAACCCCACCATAGGACCCACTGCACCTTCCCAGGGCCCAACAGACAAGTCTTGCACAATGTAAAAACCAGCTGAGCAAGGTCATGAAGGGAGGTGATCTAAAACAAACAGTGGATCAGTGACAAGGGTCAGTGATCCATGATGTTCCTTAGTTTTGCGCTTATGACTGGAGATCTTCTGGCTTTTCTATGTTGTCGAATGTAATGATGTCTGGGACTAGCTAAATTAACATGGGCATTTGTATTTTGTAATTTTTTAAATAACTGGACATATGTCATTTTAAAGACAATAGAAATACTTAAACTTACTTGAAGAGCCAATGCTGCACCAATTGTAATGAAGGCAACACCACCGCCCCGCACTGTACAGTGCTTCAGATTTAGTGTAGCCCAGGGGAGTATCCTGGAATAGAGAATCCAAGTTCCAGGTCTTCCTGGAACCACCAGTGTTGGTCTGTGACAAGTGGGTGAATAGCTGAAAGGTTTCCTAGTAGCTGACAGTGAGCACCTCTGACTCCATCCAGAGTGTGTGTCCAGCACCTGTTAAAGACTTGCAGTGGTCACAGGGGGAGGCTCCAATGGGATCTTCAGCCACGACTTAAATGGGTTGAATGGTGGCCCCTTCCATAGAAGTCATTTCCCTGGGTCCAGGTTTAAGACTCAGTGGAAGAAGACAGAAGAAACTCAGTTCTTGCTTGAACTGAACCTGGGAAAGAGAAGGGAGATACTGTGTCCAAAGCTGTTGACATCACTCCATCCAAGAGCTTGATCAGACCCCAGAGATTTCCAGGTCCATCCCCTGCATTCACAAAGGACTAGAGCAGTCTTATTTTCAGGACCTTCTAGTTCCATCATAAACTCCTGCCAACATGTTGTTCAATTACAGCCTAGAGAATATTTCCACCTTCCCTATGCTCTCCTTCATGGCAATGGAAAAAGCAAACAAGGCAGGAATCCTTGGTTCACCTGTGTTCTGACTAAATTATCTTGCTTCCTTTATCTGTGCCACAAAGGCCTAATGATACCAAGTTTGAAACCCCAGCTCTGCTGTTCACGCCTCTCTTTGAGCCAAACCAGATCTGGCTGTGGTACCTGAGTGAGGGCCATGCCAGGCCACTGTGGGAAGACGACCTCATGGTGCCAGGATTCTTCCGAGTTTTGTACCTCAGAATCATGACTTCTTTTCTTGTCCTGTTTGTGTTTGACGTTTTTATTTTTGCATGTGATCTCTACATAAGTAATATAGTTAAATGGGCTCAATTAGGGACCCTCTTGCCCTGGCATTTTAGTACATAGGTGATTTTTCTTTATCACATATTTTTACTGTATTTCTCCTCTCTCTTAAAAAAAATATCAGATTTGTTTGTTTGTCTGTTTAGGTACTGGGGATTCAATCTAGGGCCTCCTGCATGCTAAGCACACATTCTACCCCTGAACTATATCCCAGCCCCCACCCCCAATATTATTCTGAATGCAATTGTTTTTACAAGGTACAAATCACCTTTTTCCTAACAACAGCAGCTGGTATCTATAGACCAATGAACATTCTGTCTACATTATCGTTGAACTTCCTAATGAAAAATGGATGCCTCAGAATAAACCCCTTTTGACTACCATCAATCACCATCTAGGTTTGGTTTCAAACTGGCAGCCAGTCACATGCCCACCTAAGAGTGGCCCAGGTCAGACTAATTCATGCAAAAATGAATCAGATCATGACTTTGATCTCTACCTCAGTTTGCCAATCTAATCATTCTGTTGCAGAGATAGATTAATGAAATAATACCACCTTTCAAAGTCACTCTTCTGGAGGTTGCTTGCTAAAGCCTAATTTCATAAACGAATTGAAGAGTTCCCCCATCCTATGTATTTCCTGGTAAAGTTCAGTTTGGGTTTTGGTTTTTTGAAACAAGATATCCCCGTAGCCCCAGCTGGCCTGGAACTTGCTATGTAGACCAGGTTGGCCTCAATCACACAGCGGTCCAGCGGTCCACCTGCTTCTGCCTCCCAAGTGTTGGGATTAAAGACATCCTGGTAAAGTTTTAAAGCTCAATTTTCAGAACTATTCTCATAGGCCATTTTGAAAAAGAACCTTGGACTCAGCAGTTAAGAACACACTCTTACAGAGGGCCCGGGTTTGATTCCCAGTGCCCACATGGCAGCTAACACACCGTCTGTCACTCCAGTTCCAGGGGATCCAACACCCTCTTCTGACCTCTATGGGCACTGCACACACATGGTACACTTACATGCAGTCAGTACACTCATACACATAAAATAAAAATAATAAAATATTTGTAAAAAGAAGAAACCTTGGAGACCCAGACAGAATTGAGCTTTGAATAACACTGACCCTTTCAAACCATAGTTTCCTTGAAGTTTAATATTTCCTAAATGACACCCCGGCTTTTAAAAAATAATGATTCTTAAAACCGTTTTATCCTTCTTTGATGGAAGATGCCAACAGAAGGCATAAGAAGGCAATGGTGTCTTAAAATTTTTTATAAATGCCTTTTTTAAGCTTTTACTTGAGCTTTTCAAATCTACATGATACTTCCTTCAGACAGTTTTCCAAGAATCCTCCATAGTGTCTGCTAGCTTTGGTGTGTCCATCTAGGCCTTCCTGTCCCCAGGATCAGGACTCTGCTGCCTTGGATGACAAAGGACATGCTGTTGTAGAGCCTTGGAGCCACAGCTGTGGGTTCCCTAGGGAAGCAGCGCCTGCCACGCCCTCCTTTACTCTCCCATCTCCACCTTCTCTCCGGCTCCTGTTGTCACTTCCAGGCTTATTTTTGTCACTCAGCTGAAAGGAAAGGGTGTGGCCTCCAAGGAAGTTCTCTACTCACCTGTCCTTCCTTCGTGTAGTGATTCAACTGACCTTGGCACCCTTTGAGTCAGGAATAGAAAAGTTTACAGGGAAAGACCAGGTGCCTCCTGCACTAAGGATCCTAATAACTGTCAGTAAAACTCATTAAAAACTGCAGCAGCTGAGAAGGTTCACCTGGTGCACAGCCTCATTTAGGCCACAGGTGCAGCCCACAGCAGGAAAGCATGAGGAAACAGAGAGGAAAATAAGTCCTGAATGCTTTGTCCCTTCCCAAATCTAAGATCTTAACAGACTCCATGTACAGTTTAGGATCACTTGATGATAAGCAAGTTATGGTCTGCAAAGATTACCTGACCCCACCTATACAACAATGTGCATTCACAGCTGATGCAACTATGTTCGTGACCCACGTGTAGACCCTGGCATAGATTTACAAAGCCCTTTAGTTTGGATTGAGAATATGATGAGTGGATTGTTAGAAGGGAATTTAGTGTACATTTTCTGATGAGTATTGCATAAATTTTCAAACTGCTGAGGGCACTTTGCAAAACCTTTGTTCTTGTTCCACATCAACACCATTGTTGAACAGTTTAACATGTGTCCACACAACAGAATCTGAATTTGGTGCCCTGTGAGCCATCCATGGAATAATTCATAGAAAGGTCCCACTTAGTCATGAATAATTACCAGTGGACATAGAACTCCCAATAGTCAGACGGTGTCTTTTGAGTTTTCTGTCTTTATACATTTGCCATTGGCTTTATAATTTAATTAAAAGAAAATAGACGGTGGATTGATGGTGGTGGTGTTAGCATTTAGGAAGGGCACAGCCACTGAAGTCTGAAAACTGAAAGCACCATAATCTGATAGGACCTCTGAAATCCCATCGTAAAGAGCCTGCAGGTCCACTGAGACTTCAAATTATGGTTCTGCTTATTCCTGACCATAGCAGGAAGAGACCATGCATGCAGGAATTGCATTTGGGATGCCCTCTTTCTGTTATCCACCCCTGAGACCCTGGGACACAGAGGGCCTAGAACTGAAGGCTCTATCTGTGTGCAAACAGAGCCCCCTATTTCAGACCACCGCCTGAGCTGAGCGCTCTCTCCACACCCACAAGCTCCAGCTGGGCTGGAGCATCAGACGTAATTAATACAGGATGACGACTTTATAAGTAGTAAAGCAAGCCCGAAGTTGAGCTTTCACTTACTCTAGTATGCTTTCTTTATTTAACAACAAAAAAAAAAGTCTCTGTGGCATAATCGAAATGGGTACCTGTATCTTTAAATTACGTAGGGAATTTTGTATGTTTAAATAATTGTACTGGGTTCCATAATGCTTATCTTAGAAACTAGTAAAAGAAAAATATATAAACCGTGCATTTGTGAATGCCCCCTTTAGAGCATTCATCCAAGTTCAATGTGTAGTGTGATGGTTATTATAGATATTTAAAATAGAGTAAGTGGCTGTGTAACAGGAGAGACTGCTGTTTCCCTGCGTTCATAAAGGTAACTCCTGCCCACGTAATTAAATCAGTATTGTCCTTTCCTGTCAGTTTGGTCAGTTGCAGTACTGGTAGCTTCCTGCTTGTGACTGTTACCTAATTGTGTCAATGTACATCTGTAGTATGTACATGTGAAAGTGCCTTTCTATTTTAGAGGAGTGTAGCCTTGCCCTTGTACTGTTATCCACTCTAAGCCCCGCCCACTCCCTCAGTCCCTGCTGCCCACCTGAGTGTTGTGAAACTTCCTTCACTAGACCCCAGTCTCTTCACCCATCCTCATCTTCCTGTGCCTCCGTGCTTGGTCATGTGTGTCTTGCATCCCTGTCAACTCTCAGACTGTCTCATTTTCCTCATAGACGTGACCGTGCCTTTCTGACCCCGCAGTGACTCTCCTGTCATCCCATCCCTCCCATCATGCCCCACTCACGCTGCTGCCTGCCATCCTGTCCCTGTGCTCTGTACTGGCTCTTATCATTACATTCCCTCCTCTCTGAGGTGAAAAGAAAGGGGATGCTTTTACAGTCCTGGAAGATAAAACAACGTTTTGTTAATCTGTCGTGACAATGCACTTTTCTGTATAGTACTGTACATTTTGGCATGTGCCATTACAGGCTTAGTATACAGTCGGGTTTGTTCTTCGTGGCGTATCTTTATAATAAATAAGATAGTTCTGGCCACCTTCGTCTGCTTGCAGTTTGTTGTGGCTCTGTGGTGTCTCTGTTCCTTTCCTTCCTTTCTTCTCATCAGTGTTCCACTAGAGAACTGAGTTGCATGAAAGAATGTGAAAATTTTTTAAAATAGGGGGTTTTATCTCATTTTCATTGTCATTCATGCAATTAAAAATGAGGCACTCTGCACACAGCCCTGTCCAAGAAACTAGTTTTTCAGAGTTTCAGCTTTGGGACTCTCATGTAGGGAAGAAACAAGCATTGGGGGACACTAAACTGAGAGGCTGGGGGGACAGTCCTCATCACGCACAGGTGGAAGTCTTTTATTACAGAAGAATTCCTTCCACAGTAAGTCTTTTGTTTCACTGTAATATATCGAAATAGAATCCTTAGGTATTGGCAGTGTAGATTTTCCCAGGTATTGACATTTTAATTTCAAACACAAAAGCTAACTCTTCAGATCAAACAAGACATAATAAAAAAGCTTTGTAAAACTGTATCTTCATGTGCCAAATTGAATAATGTTAAGAAATGTGGAGCTTGAAAAATGACATATAGCTCAAAACTCATTTTTGATTGAAGTGTAAAACAGGTACAGAAAAAAAAGTACAAGTCATTGGTGTAATATCTTTTACAAAGTAACTCGGGCTGAGGGTGGATGTAGCTCAATAGTGGAGCATGTGATTTTAGCATGCAAAGGACTTCAGCAACCCCCTCAAAAATAAGTGTGTATCACCCAGGTGAAGAAGCAGCCCTCTACAGGACCCAGACAATACTTACCCCTGCATCTCCACAGCTAACCAGAATCCTGAGCAATCATACCAGAGTTTGGTTTTGCCCATCATTTTGACTGTCTGTATATGGTTTCATGCAGTTTTTGTATCTGGTTCTTTTTGTTGAAATTTGGGGCTGAAAATTTAGCTCAGTAGTGAGGTTACCAGCAAGGACAAGCCTGTGTTCAATCCCATACACTGCAAGAAAACGTGTGAGAATTAAACTAGAAGTTCTTCCATTGTATTGCTGTATAGAATTCCATCACAAGAATATTCTCAATGTGTTTAGTATTTCCAAATTATTATTATATGGATATTATATACATAGTATTATATGCAGAAACAGTTAAACCTGGAGAAATGAATGAAAAGCAACCATACCAGAAAGATTTGTTTTTCCAAACCCTCATGGAGGTGTTGAACTAAGCCATTGATTGGAAGGCCTTCCCAAGTGCAAGGGAAGTTGTTTTGATTTCTGATCTGGATAAGAACTCTTCCTGAAAAACACTGACTCTAGAATAAGACTCGCCTGATGCCATTGCTGGATGCTTTTCTTCAGTATCCACATTTGTCTCTGAGGGTGGGATCACTGACTACTCCAGATACAAATGTCCAAATGGGCCAAGACTGTTCCAGAATGACTCCACTGTTCTACACCTTCCTTTGTGCTACCCTCTGATCCAAGGCCTGCCCCAATCCTCTGCACACACTCGAACGCTCACTCTGAGATCAGAGTCCCATCAAGTTGTGTCTGGTAGAACCACAGTTCATATGCCTGTACCCAGTAAGACTATGCCTTAAGTTGTTGGGATACCTGAGAAGGAAATTTCCCCAAATCTGATTTAGAGTACCAAAACCTGGAAAGCCTAAAACTACAGAAAGTTCCATATCCGGTTTGTCTATTTGTTTTAGTTTGGTTTGGTTTGGTTTGATTTGGGATTGTTTAGTTTTGTTGGCTTTTCTTTTTATGTGTATGAGTGTTTTCCTACATGTGTGTGCAGCATGTGTGTGCCTAGTGCCCATAGAGGCCAGAAGAGGGCATCAGATCCCCTGGAACTGGAGTTATAGACAGTTGTGAGCCACCATGTGGGATCTGGGAGGGATCTAGGAACCAAATCTGGCAACAGCAGCCAGTGCTCTTAACTGCTGAGCCATTTCTCCAGCCTCTTGTTGGCTTTTTAAGACAGGATCTTGTTATGTATGTAGCTCAGGCTGGCTTTGAATGATGCAATCCTGCCTCGGCCCCCCAAGCGCTAGGATTACAGGTGTGTGCCACCACACCTAGCTCTTCTTTCTGTTCCTGTTTGGATTTTGGAATATAACTGGAAAACAAGAACCATGAACTTCAACGAGTCTTCAGTAGTCTTTTATGTTTTCTTATACAGTAGATAGAGAACTTGTTTCTACAGAAGAACATAGTTGTTTTGTAAAGGCCACTGCCTGCTCTCTTACTTGAAATGAGCTGTAAAGAGGGTATGTGTGTGTGTGTGTGTGTGTGTGTGTGTGTGTGTGTGTGTGTATGTGTGTGTGTGTAAGGCTGTGGGAGAAGGTGAGAGATTTCTCTCCATAGAGTCTAAAGCAGTATGCCTTGTTTAGCATGACCGCTGGGGTCGCCTGCACTAGAATATTTGCAGTCCCATTCTGCTGATGGGGATTGCTTCTTCCTTAGCCATCAATCAGGAGTGGACCTTAGGGTGACTGGCTTCCTTTCATCTGCTTGGTTTGATGGCTAAAGTGAAGACTAGGTAAACAGCCCTTCAGAGATGCACTGTACTGATATTTTATTTCTTCTGACACACCTAGGGAATGCCTTGTGTAAAGCCCATGTCCCTTTAAATGAAAGTAGATGATCTTGCTTGCCAGCTAAAGGAGAGGGGCGTACCACTGATGGTCTTGTGACTGTGGTAACATATTGAGAGTTGTACAATGATGTGACATTAGCTTCAAGAATGAGGTTTGAAGCGATGTAGGTTGGTGGTAGAGCAGTTTCCTGTCATGGACAAGGACCTGGGTTTACTCCCTAGTAACACAAAAAACTGGACAGAACCTGCTAGGAGGAAAGAGGAAATGAGGTTTGAGATTCGAGGCCATTGGTGAACTACATCCACTTCAAAAAGCAACACAGTCAAGATTTCAAATACAGACTTCAATTTGAATTTTGGTCTGTGATCCAAAAATGACTATTGAATTCATGATTTGATATTTACAGTTGCATTAGGAGAAGAAAAATAAATTTTAAATAAGCCAAAATTTATTATCTGGTTCTAATGCCAACTCAATTACTATACTTCAAATAATTACCAATTCATGCCTCAATTTCCAAAGCAAAAATAGTCCATGGAATATTTTCACCAAAGTTGTCTCCGAATCCTTTTACTACATCTTGTCATATGCTACAGTATGGGTGAACCTTAAGAATATTATGCTGTATGAAATGAGCCAGTCCCCCCCCCAAATATGACAAATATTGCATGATTCTTCTTAATGTAAGGTGTCTAAAATAAAGCTCTTAGAGAGTAGACTCATAGTTGTCTAGAGCTAGGATAAAGTGTTGGCGGAGATGAATGACTGGTAATAAATATGAATTTGGGGGGGTGAGGGGGATGATAAAATTTATTATGGGATGGTTTCAGAACTGTGAATATACTAAACACCACTGACCTGTATCCACTAGAGTAGTGAATCTTATGATATACACATTCTTTCTCAATAATGCTGATACCAAAAAAGCTGACTGGAAGCTCTGTTACATAAGAAGAAACAAACAGTGACTCCTTTAAGCTTACATGATTGCTGTGGGGTCTCTTTGTAATGGCAGCCTAACTGTTCTTATGAATACACTCTGTTCACACCCTCCAGAGAGTTCATATCCAGGCTCCTGCTGGAGCAGGGATGGCTATATCAGCCCTGTGGAGCTGGAAAGACTATTGAGACCTAACTGCTTCTTACATCTGTCATCTCTCAGTTTCATCTTCATCTCATGGAAATAATCTATTTACAATCAAGTTTTGAAGTTTTGGGACGTTTTCTTGTTTTTCTAGCTTAAAATCCAATTTTTTCCAGATGCTAAATCAATCTCTCTCTCTCTCTCTCTCTCTCTCTCTCTCTCTCTCTCTCTCTCTCTCTCTCTCTCTCTCCAACCCCATGAGCTGTACCCTATCACTAAGCTACATCTCCAGCCAACATCTACATTTTTTAAGTACCTTTTTTTTGTCACTGAGAGAGTTATTGGGAAGCAGCAAGTTTAAATACCTGTTTTCAAATCACCAGCATTAAACAGAAACACTTCCTTTAGTATCTTAAATTACTTTCTACCTGGGAGCTGGAGAGATGGCTCAGTGGTTAAGAGCACCAGTTGGTCTTGCAGAGGACCTGGGTTTGGTTCCCAGCACCCACATGGCAGCTAACAACCAACCATCCATAACTCCAGTTCCAGGTAGGATCTGATGCCCAATTCTGGCCTCCACAGGCATTGCACAACAAAGGCACACTTACATGCATACACCCAAAATACTCATACACATAAAATGAAATAAAATATTTTTTAAAATCATTTCTGCCCAAATGAGCCACAACTGAGTTCTATTGTTTGCAACAGAAAACCCAGACAATAAGTACTCAGAGTAGCTGTCCTAACAGGAGTACAGTCATTATTCATGAAGGTAAACAGAACCCAGAAGAATAAAGAAGTGAGAGCCAGGCATGGTGGCACACGCCTTTAAACCCAGCACTTGGGAGGCAAAGACAGGTGGATCTCTGTGAGCCTGAGGCAACCCTGGTCTACATAGCAAGTTCTAGGCCAGCTGGGGCTACAGGGAGACCCTGTCTTAAAAAGACCAAAAATAAATAAATTAAATAAATAAATAAATAAATAAAAAGAAGTGAGTACTAGTCTCGACCAAGCTATGGTTTGACCAGGGAGAATTTCTTTCAAACCACAGTAGTTGCAAAATGGCAGCCACTGCATCGTAAGATGTGAGCATCTCATTTAGCCCTACTAGAAAAGATAGACTGAAAACACCCAGCCAGAACTTACCCTTCCTTTATTAGGATCAATCACTTTTGCATTTAGAAACAAAACAGAGGGAGAAAGTATTTTGTTTAATCTTGGTGGTATTTCAATAATTTGTTAACAAAAATTATGTTTAGAGTTAGTGATATTGCTTAGTGGTAGAGTAATTGCCCAGCATGTGCAAGGTTCAATCTCTAGTACAAAAAAATTTTTTTTTCATTAAAAAATTAATCAGAAACAAGTACAATTTGTTTAGAATGGTGTAAAGCAAGAACGAATGCTTACTGAATAAACCACGCACCGAACCAAAACAAATTAGTAAAACACTATCATAAGAGCACAAACAGTTCCACTTGGAAGAAGAAAAGCTATAATCTAGCTTGTTCAGAATGCAAGTGTGCTAATGAAGAAAAAAATAGTAAGGTTCATCACCAGACAGCCAAACGTAGCAAGACAAACAAGGAAAAGGAGGTCCAAATGTATCTGTTTATGTTTTCCAAATCACCCTAGGAATAATTTACATTAAGTAAAGGAGATTTCAAAGGAGAATTAATATGTAGGCCAAATGCAGGTCATGAATTTTAAAGGCCAATGGAATTGAGCAATATGTTGAAAACAAAGATTTCATAACTCAGTCAGTGTTGCAAGATAATTAGAAAGGGCTGTATAAAAGAATCACCAGGAAGTTCAAGACATGGAAAATACTGGTCACAGTGAAGACAATGGGTACTTTGAATCCCATCCCTGAGCTGCCAATCACACTCAAATCTGTGATGGTTAATCTTAGGTCTCAACTGAATTGGCTATGGAACTGACTGAGACATGCCCAGGGCAGGTCTGTGAGGGTATCTCCTGGAAGAATTAACTGCAGGGGGAAGACCCTTCCCAAGAGTGGACAGTACCTTCCAGCAGCAGCCAGTATTGTAAGAGGCCAGTATTGACTTAGAGAGAAGCAGCTACTTCTGCCTGCCTCCCTTCACTCCCTGCTGGTGAGTGAATCTATCTTGTTGCTGACGTCAAAACCTAGTTTCTTCTGCCTTCCAACATGGACTGAAAACCAGAGGCTCTCCAGGAATCCTCCAGGCCTTCATCACTGGGACTGCTGAGGCATCCAGCCTCATGGATTGAGCAGCTACCCTGTTCTCATCCTCTCCAGGATATTGATAGATAGCCATTGGTGGGGTGC